AGAAAAGCGGAAAAAGCTGGTCCAGAAGCTAGAAAAAATATTCAACGATGAGTGGCCCGGCCATGATATTCGTGTGAATTTGTTTGGGTCCTCGGGCAATCTGCTATGTTCAGATGACTCGGATGGTATGTTCAAACAGTCGGCATGGAAACTAGTCGTGCATAACTAATACTGGTTTATTTCTAGTGGACATTTGCATTACTACTTCATGGCAAGAGTTGGAAGGAGTTTGCATGATAGCTGACCTCCTCGCAAGGCGTATGTTTCCACCTTCGAACCTACATGGAACAGTGTTCGCTAACACACACTATTCAGGCGGAATGGAAAAGGTTGTTTGCATATCTGCGGCCAAGGTGCCCATTGTCAAGATCTGGGATCCTGAGCTTGGTCTGGCCTGCGACATGAATGTGAACAACACTCTCGCCCTCGAAAATACCAGAATGGTTCGCATATACGTAGAAGCCGATCCTCGTGTTCGCCAATTGGCAATGATTATCAAATACTGGACCAGGAGGAGAATTATCAATGATGCTGGTGAGATGATGGAACCATACCTCTGGTACCTATAAAACACTGTTGCTGACATACCTCGTCCTCTTCAAACAGCTTTTGGTGGCACGTTGAGTTCTTACACGTGGATATGCCTTATTATCGCATTTCTCCAACTCCGAAATCCTGCAGTTCTTCCCGCATTGCATCAAATGCCATATAAGATGCCAAAATCAGATGGCACCCCTAGCGACTTTGCGGATAATCTCAAGAAGATCAAAGGATACGGCAGCAAAAATAAATCATCTGTCGCAGAGCTGTTGTTTCAATTTTTTCGATTCTACGCTCACGAATTCGATTACGACAAGCACGTGCTGACCATCAGGCAGGGAAAGCTTCTAACAAAGCAAGAAAAGAAGTGGAATTATGCCTTGAACAATCAATTATGCGTCGAGGAGCCTTTCAACGTTTCTCGAAATCTCGGAAATACCGCCGACGAATATGCGTTTCGAGGTCTACACTTGGAGCTACGTCGCGCGTTTGATCTGCTTTCCGAGGCGAAGCTTGACGAGGCGTGCGAGCAATACGTATTTCCGAAGGAAGAGGAGCGCGTCTGGACCCGACCAGCCCCGCAGCCCCGTCCAGTGCTTCTGCGAAGCTCGTCACAGACACACTCTGGCCGAGGCGGGCGAGGACATCACAGAGGCGGCCGCCACAACAACAATTTCCACAGGGGCGGAGGGGGGTCGAATAGAAGAGCCTCTTCGAGTATACCGGCTTATGAGCAAAGTATGTTTGTGCCATTGAGTATGCAGCAGGACATGCCATGGCTCCAGACACCTCAGTACCCGTTTCAATACACTCAGCAGGACCTCATGACGCAAATAGCCTATCAAGAGCAAATGCGACACTTTCACAACTTGTATGCGCAGGGACCCTTCCTTCCGCACCAAGTGATTAGCCAACAGCAGCAGCAGCAGCAGCAGAGACTGTCTATCAACTGTGGTTCGGGTCAGCAGTCGTCGGACCGATCAAGAACAAACTCATTCGACAATGTTCCAGTTACCGCACCACTACGGCCAGAAATATATGCCCTGTATGGGATGAACATAGGTCACGCTTTTCTTCCACAAAATGGCTACGGATCTTACCCCTCGAGCCCTGCAACAACGAATAACAACGCAGCTCAAGACTTCCGCCGGTCCCTCCAAAGATCCACAATCTCTACTGAGGGAGGGGCATCGATGTCAAGTAGCTCGCTTAGGTCTCAGTCGCAACCAGCACAGAGGTCGCCGTCTGCCAATCCTGGTGCGGGCTATCAACTGGGCAGCCAAACTCCAGCCAGCGCAACGTTGTCTGCACCGAGACAAACGAATGGCATAACAATCCCAAATTTTATGCCGGATGATGCTGATTTTGATGAGACACCCAAAGCCGCGTCTGAATCGCCAGAGTCTGTAGATGCCAAGTCCTCTGGCTTCTTCCAAGCCAGAAGCCTGAGTCCGACTAGACCTGCCCAATTTCAACAGCAACAGCAGCAACAGCAGCAGCAGCAGCAGCAGCAGCAACAGCATTTGCCAAATGGTATTGCCTTTGGAGACCTGGCTACAAAATCTTCAAGTCCTGAAAGACGCCGGCTGTCAATAGAGCAGCTGCCTCAGACGCTGCTAGACCGAAGGATGCGCAGAGCATCCAGGTCTCCATCTCCTTTAGGGCACGCCCGTGCATTTTCCGTTGGTGGGACTTCTTCTGCCCCGTTGACATCTGCACCATTCCCCAGTAGCCAGGGCAGCAAAGCCTCGTCAAGGCCACTGGTGGTAAACGGCTCAGGATTGAAGACTGCAGTAACCCCACCTGGTCCATCGCCCTCGAGTAGGGCAGGATCACTGGGATCCGAGGATTCACCAGTGGCCGGCATGGAGAATGCTTTGCATATCAGTACGGTCCCCGTCTGGCCCATGCAGCCTCCTGCCAACACGACATTGCAGCCGTCGGCACCATCCCGAATCCAACAAGCGCCTTCACCTTTGGCCTTGGACCGACCGCCGATTGTAGTCAATGGATCCAGCGCGCCGTTGTCCATGCCGCACTGTGCAGAAGACGCTTCATTCAAAGACCGGATTGCGCTGATGAATTCCATCTACTTGACTAGTCAACCGAACCAGCAGGAAGCCCCCAATGGCGCCACTGCCCGTCTCTCGCCATCCGCCAGGCAACGCTTGATGTCTCGACAGCCTCAAAACGGTGTCATTGCTCCGCTGGATCTAGCAATTGGTGACAATAGGGTGGGCAAGCCTACGGCAGCCGATGCTGCTCATCTCTCTCCTGTGTATGAAACGCGAACACCCTCGCCAACTACACTTCGGAAGCAAGAGCCAGCTGCATCAATGCCAACATGGCTGCCCAACAAGCCACCCTACAAGGCTGAAGCAAGCAAGCCCACTCGCGTGGATCTTTCCAAGGAGGCGCTGCACAGCCCGGACCACCGGTACCCTCCATTTGTCGACGCAGATAAGGATCAGAAGAGTCAGAAACCACACGTGGCAGCAGCAAAGTCAGCACCGCAGCGAGAAAACGGACATGTACGCGGCGCCAGGAGTGAGGGCGACGGCGGTTGGCAGAAGGCTGCTGGTAAAGGGAAGAAGAAGGCCCACCATGCAGTTTCAACACAGCCCTCGCAAGCCGAACTCCCGCCAAAGAACGAATTCGAACGCAAAGGCGGTTAGACTTGGTGGATTGTTATCAGCTAATTATAATCAAACTGCCGCGGCCGAGGCGAATCTGAAGATGGTCAAATGCTGGTTGGATAGAGTCAACAGTGGTGGAGGATCTTGGTGCATTTTTTGTTTTGTTTTTGGAGCCGCAAAGAGATTCACAAAAGATGACTGAGAAGAACAGGGTAGTGGTTGACATGATTTGCAGCTTACACAGCATCGAGTTGGACATGATTTGGGACGTGGCTAATCCCGACAATGACATGTACGAGGGTTGCTAGGGTGGAATTCGATGTAGAAGCATATGTACAATGCATGAAGCTGTTGCGGGAGATAAACAGAGGGGATTGAAAGTTGGGGATATGACAGCAACCCTTGGCGATCAGAGATGCGAAGTTGTATCGACATGGAATCAAATGGTGTGGTTGGATCGTGGGCGGGCAACCCAAGGGCATGCTGGGCGTATGATTACAAGGGCTAGCTGGCAGGCGTTTTGCATTCGAGAAGCCGTTGTCGCGCCCCTTTTTCTCTTTTTTTATCATTTATATATACGGCATGGCGGTGTTTACGGAGGCATTGATTAATGTTTCTGATGTTTGTCGACCGCCAGGATGGAAACAGCCCTAGGATGGCTGCTAGCGGCATAGATGGGATGTTACAAAGTTATGCACAAAAGATAGTTGAATCAAGAAAAGACAAATAACACGGGACGAGGCCTTGCAGATTCATGACATGAAGTGTTGTGCACTGGGTGTTGGTTGTGACTTTGGGGCCATTTGTTGCGGGAGATGTCTCGGCCACCTCGGACGTCGAGAGGCGATATGGAGTGCACGGCGTAGAAGCGATGTGTACTGAGGACGGGCAGCAAGGGCCCAGGCCGATGGGGTTGCGTTTATGAATCCAACATTGAAGTCGCGGCTGGGGGCCAACGCAAGTCACTTGCGGTGGGCGTTTGGTTGTTGGTTGTTGGTTGTACGTGTAAAAAGTGCGCGTGTGGTCCAGTTGGTGCTCCGCCGGGCATGTTGGTCATCTTCAGCGGGTATGTACATTTAGCAGAATAAAGGAGACATTGAGAGCCATGTCGAAGCGATTGAAGACATGGAGCCTCGTGTTGGGCCGCCGGCAGCGAGGCGAGATGGTGACGGGTGGTGTTGGGGGCCGGTGGCGGCTAGGCGGTTCGTGGGCGGGTTTATCCTTGGCATTTGGCGACGAAGTGTACTTGGGGGCTGACGATGTTGGACGAGACTTTTGCCATTGTTGATGATATGGGCTGTGTTTGAGGACAAGGCTGGTCGTGAGGGTGGCGGATGCGGATTCCTGTAGGGCGTTGGATGCTCGAGTTGTCGGTCGTGTTGGTGGGCGGGACGTCGCGCCTTTGTCTGGCTGGGGTTTGGGGGTCGGCCAGGCCAGGCCTTTTTCTGGGAAGTACATGGAATGTGTATTTATATGACGGGGCTGTGTGATGTTGTTCTACGGAGAGAAGATGTGTATCGTGCTCGGGGGTGTTGGTCGTGATTTTATACCGGCACGGGTCATCTGGGGGTTGTGGCCGGGAGGGATTGATGTCGACGGCGGATTCTTGCCGTTTTAGCCTCTGGGCTCTGTGTACGTCGGTCTATACATGTGTATTTACTCATCACTGCAGATACATCTTCCGGTGGTACTTCAATGTACTGTAAGAGCTCCATGTATGTTTCTGCCAAAGTTGGACACCCTCGGCAATAGCAGACCGTCACGGCGGGGACCACAATCAGAAAATTCAAAGTTGAGACTCGCATTACGATATATGCCAATATGCTACTTGTCTTGGCCGGCACGCGGTCCAGCTCCATTCGTCGATCGGTACGCCGCCGCCCGCTGGGCCATGTATTCCTCCGCGCAGACGGGACAGCCCGGAACGACGGGGTGCCCGTCGCAAGTCTCGACGAGGCCGGTGTATGTGCCGTGCTTGGGGTCCTTGGTACACGCGAATGTCGAGAGTGCAAATGTGACTCTTTTTGCGGCGCCGGTGGTCGAGTGCGCTGCGGTCGATTGGCGCTTCATTTTTGGCGCTTGCGGATGAGTCCAGTAGACGATGGAGTGGTTCTGGTGACTTGACTTGACTTGACTTGGTATAAATGAGATTTGGGAAGGTTGAGTAGGAGACGGAGGCGGTTTGAGGGGAGCAGGTTTGTGTCTTGTGGGATTGGGGTCGCGGGAGGACTGTGAGGCTCGACTGCCAGCGTCGCTTTTATATGTCGCGAGGAGGGCGAGTCGAGGACCTGTTTGAACCTGGTGGCACGGTGATTGTTGCTTTTGACGCTGGGCCGTCGTGGTTGTGAATCCGGCGGCCAAGGGTTGCATGTCCACGGCCTGGTGGGTGGCACAGCACCACTGTTCATGTTGTGCGCTTGTTCATCTGGGATTCTTTTGGAGGGGTGTCTTTTTAATGGCGGCCGGGAGGAGATGGAACTGGCACTTGAGACCTTGGGTTGTTCACTTGCTTAAATATGAGTCGGCTGGTTATGTCGTTGGGATGTGATTTGGGCACGTCTGCGGCGCGAACAATCAGCCTTTTCGGTATGAAGCAGCGCACTAATTTTCCGGTTCATAGGGCTTTGTATGCTGGTGTATCGTCTTTTGCGTGTGCTTTTTCTCTTTGGTGAGTGTGGTCGTGGCGTGCAAGGCATGATATTCTTTTATACCTGCTTGCGGGAGACTCTTGGACGGAGGATGACGAGGGGTCGGCAAGGTTGGAATGTCTCGCAGAGGTTATGACTGGCTGTTTGAGCTTGAATATCTTGACACTATGTGTATTGGCATTGTACATTACATGGTGTACTCACTACTTGAAGTTGGGTGTGTAACAGCCTGCTAAGACACAGCTAAACGGACACCATGGGATTTTCTCAATTCAACAGGCGCCCGAACTCATCAAAACCAAGAAAGAAAAGATTGATATGGTAAAGACAGACCCATAGACTGGATCGGATTTATTCCAAAGTCGTGTGCAATGCTAGTTTGACGGAATCCATTCATCTGTATCGGACTGTGTTGTAACCGGGGTTGAGAAATTGGCCATCTTGGCGCTATGAAGACGTATATTACAATATGCTTTTCTGTCGCCATACTCGCAATAGGATGCGATAAGACGAGCCAAAACTAAGACGATAAAGACATGGCACCGCTTCTTGCTGGCAGTAGTAGTTTGTGGGGTTGAATAATACTATATAAATGTCGACGGTACAAGGAGGTTGATATGGCCAAGGGCGACGACAAAATATAACAGCTCCGATGGCAGTAGCAGCGCTGGGTTGTCAGTCAACTTTTATGCCTCCAATCTTCCAACAAGAGATACCGCGGCGCCTGTCGCATGGGACCTGAACCATGTCACTGGTCGTTCTCTACAATCGCTGCTTCATCATCTGAAAAAAAGTGTCTGCATGTCTCTGCAACCTAATAGGAACTCGGCCGCCGAGAAGAAGAACACCACAGTCACAATACAGTCGCCGAGCTCAGTCGCCTCAACGAAAGGAACCGCCGAGGGCTTAAAAAGCGCGCTACTTACAGCGGTTTATATTCTCGAGCAGCAGCTACACATGTAGCTGAAAATTATGTCTCAGGCCTCAGCCGGCCTGTATCTGCCTATTACCCCAAGTCCCAAAGACCACCGCCGACTAAACCATTACCAGCAACTTCATCCCAGTACGCCCTTGTTGAGAAGAGAACAAAAAAAAGCGGCTCAACCGCTACCAAAATAAAATTATAATAGGCAATTACAAAACCCCAAAGTCGCAAGCATGTAGCCCATTCACACGCCAAACCTCGTCGACAGCCAAACTCGTCACTTGTAACCACCTGTTGGAAAAGCACGCTCCAGCGTCTGCAGCATCTGTCCATAATTCGCCGGCGAGGTCTGCACACCCAGTGCTATTTTCTCATGGTTCTGCGCGTGACCCAGGTAATATTGGAGGTTCGGAGTCTCCGGCAGGCGCTGCAGGTTCTCCCGTGTGACGGCCGGAGCAGAAGCCGCCGGCTGGGGAGGCGAAGCGTGCTGGCTAGATTCCACCATGAGAACCACTACACAACTCAAACAAGACAAGGGATAAACAGGGGCCAAGTCTTACTTTACCGAGTTCATGGTGAAATGGTTACTGGAAGAGGAAGAGGAGGCACTGAAGAGGAAGAGGCATTGGTTGCGTCCTTAGGACTCCGTGAGACTCCCCGACGCGAACATTTGTCCTAATTTATACGTCTGCCCGTACGTACGTGATACAGTGACAAGACAGCAACACGCATGCCCTTTGAAATCGGACTGTTTCCCTGAATAAACTACCCTCGTCGACGCTTACGCAGAAATCGGCGCAACAAGTCAATTTGTCGGCATCAGAAGGGCACGCGGGGGAGGGCATTCGGTCACCACGTCACCAGGCGATTCCGTCCGCCTTCGAGGCCGGGCTGCGAGTCCTGATTTCATGCAGGGACTCCCAGGACCTCCGTCGCTCCAACTCCTTCTCTGGTCCTTGGCTCGCCTGGGGTGAAGTGGAGGTCTGGTAGTTGCCGTACTGCTGATGCGGCTCTGTTTGCCGCCCCCGGGTACACGTCAACGCTGATGACTCTCGTTCAGCTTACTGCCTGCCACGAAGCTCCTCTTACTGGAAGGCAGAGCATTAAATGTACAATATTGTATCTACCTTTTACTATACCGTATTATATGATAGTATATTATAATATATTACCGAAAGAATACTTATTACAGATTGTTCTGTTCAAAAACGAGTGATAGAATTGTCAGTAAACTATGTTCAATAGCAAGTAAAACACTACTAGAACACTCCCGCCTAATCGCATTACCGTGTCTCTACATGCGATCCATCCTAATACCTGTCATAAGTTACCATATACCCGTGTCCATTTTATAGCCGAAGCCTCCTGGGCCCTGGCCGCGCGGCGGCTCAGCGTCCTGCTCTGCCTCTCATGTACTGACAGACGTGTTCCCGGACACACATTTTTCTGGTGTGTTTTGAGATTGTCCGGTCTACTAAACTCTCTGCCACAGCCTGAACACATAACCTTTTGCGGGAGATGCGTGGCAAGGTGCTTTTTGAGGTAGACAGCCCGCTTGGCAGGTTTCCCTTTCGACTGGAACGAGCACTCTAGATGAGGACACCGGCCAGGGTCTGCCTTGTCCGGCCGAGAGCTCAATGACGGAGAAGCTTCCGGTAGCAAGCCGTGCATCGGGATTTGGCTCGCCTCCCCGCCGCGGCGCGAGGACGGTGGTGGTGCCCCGGAGTGGTCAGGCGCCATCCTGGATGTGGAAGCATTCCCCCCCAGCCGCGGCACTACACATCCATTCCGAACCAGACCAAGTGTGCTGGGTCCGCTTTGCCCGGTCATAGACGTCTGTGGCCGTGGCCAACTAGAGCTTCGTTGTTTTTGGTGTACAAACGACGTTCCATCGCAGACGGCATTCTCAGGGGTCGTGGTGCTACCGTACAAGGGCGACGATATTTGACGGTACATGTTCATGCTTGTATAGGGATTGCTCGAAAACGACCCCAAACCGCAAGGATATTGCGGGGACGTTTGCTGGGCCATATTCCAAGACGCTTGCCCGGTGCCGCGGTCAAGATCGGAGCAGGCCGTCGGCAAAGACGTAGACCAGGGCGAATGGACTTCATTCGGTGTTATCGTCTGAAGAGAAGCAGGTTTGTTTTCTGGAGACATACGCCAAGGCTGCAATGCACTCTCCCCGTTTACATTTTCCACCGGTGACTCTGTGAATCCTTCGGAAAACATGGGCGAGATGTTGGACATGGAGACCGGGCTTAACCGGCCAGCACCAAAGGGCCCAGGAGTAGTAGGAAGCTCGGGAATCATATCTATAGCAGTGTCAGGGACACCGCGTGAAGGCGAATCACTCATCTCGTGTGGTGGACCAGAGCCCAGCTCTTGCGGCCCCGGAGATGGAGGATTCCCAATAGAGGAAGCCCGTCTAGAACTCGCAGCACTTGGGATGACGGTGTGACGGGCTTCCGGAGAAGACGGCGCCGATGCCGGGCGACTACGGGAGAAGATATTGGTGAGTTTGCGCAGCCCCTTGCTCTTCCTTGGAGAGCAGGCTCCGGCCCGAACAGCATTGTCGCTGGCGCTGCAGAACTCGCCATTACCGCCCTGGAGCGTAAAGCAGTCGTACTTGCGGCAGCTGTTGCAGTACACCTTGGCGCCCGAGGAGAGAGAGCAGCGAGCGACATGCCAGATGAGGGCTTTGACGTCAGGAAAGTTCTCCTTGCAATCGCCAAATGGGCACGCCCAGTTGCTTCGGCCCCCGTGCAGCTTGCCGTCAAAGACGAGGAACTCCATAGCCAGCAGGGCAATGACTCGGGCCTTGGCGCAGCTATCGATTTGAGACGCAAGATCTCGGATTCTACCGCGGTTAGCCGCCACTTGAACATGGTCTGTTGCGGTCACATCAAGAAACCTACCGGCAGAACTCTTGATCCTGGTGCTCAACAGCGACACCAGACTGATTACTCTGGCACGGAGACATTGGCGGGCTCTCGAGCATTCTGCCTCCCGAGAAACTTCCCGAGAAGCTCGCAACAGAAGCCCTGGAGGAACCAAACATTTTCGTCTTGTAAATCAGCCACGATACTCGCAACGAGACTTGATGCAACGGACAACAGCGCCGAGTATAGCTTTCGAAATAAACGACGACCGAAAGGAAGACGTCTTGACAAAACGGCAGCCGGCGTCTGTATACTCATCCCAGGGCCGCCTCATTCAGAGCCAACTCGATTCCCTGAAAGGGCAACCGTCCCAGCACCAAGGCGTCCAACTTGTTCGCATCTTCCCATCCGTCACTAGAGCGAATGTGCTCATCTCGGTGAGGGACTCTCTCCTCCGAGCTGGACTTTTCCCTTTGGCCTACATATTCCCTGCATGCGGCAGGATCGAGGAGCCGAACCTGGAGTAGGAGCCTGGCGGGAAATGTAAAAAGGGCGTCGGAGGGGATCCGAGGCACAGGTATCTGCGTGGTTTGCAAGGGGATCCGACAAGCGTCGGAGCCAATAGCCGTGCTCGGTAGCCCAAGGTCGCCGCGCGTTCAAGCCTCTCCCGAGATGGCTGTCATCTGGTTGGCAAGCTCATGGCCATCGTGGCAAGGCAACGATCCCCCCCGTTGCGCATATCGAGCTAGTTGCCTTAGTGGGCGACTGACTAATCAGGGATGGTGAGGCTCAACGAGGAACGAGGGGTGCGTGGCGGGCAGAGGGAACGGCGGCATCTCCTCTTGTCTCTGCCGCTGCCCCTGTTGCCTGAGGGGCTCTCGGTCTGAAGAGTTGCGGCAGGGGCGTCGAAATGCCGCGTTTGCCATGAGGACGGTGTTGTTTTTTGCTGGGTGAGTGGCCCTCAGGTCGATGCGTCGCACCGGGAGGAAGCAAAATGTCGAGAGAGGAGAGAAGATGGCAACAAGACCCTTCCTTCCTTCCTATTCAGCTCATTCTGAGACCGGGACGCGCCACTCTTAAGTACTCGCTAACAAGGCTTCGGCTGCGGCGCTCGACAAATGGAAATGGTCAACTGGTTTTGCTCAGCCACGGCTAGCGTATTCTTCTACCTGAGATTTGTTGCTATAAATACCTGTCCCGCCTTCTTTTGCCGTTTCCATAAATATGTTCCGTGCAAATGCGGCCGCCAACAGCGAATCAGCTAGCTCGCTTCTGTTCATGCGGCACGGCATGAGGCTGCGGCTGTGCTAGGCATGCATTTTGTGGCAGCGATCGTGTTATACACTGCTATGGTGAGGCTTCATAGGACGGAGCGAGATGGTCGTCATTAAACGGGCTGGAAGGCTCTTTTTTTGACTTTTCAGGCTGCTATCATGGTGGAGTTGACCTGGTGAGGCATTGGTATCTCAATATGCCTGGGAAATGCAGAGTAAGCGGAACTATGAGGCTTTGGGGGCCTCTGTATATCTTTGAGGCTGATGGGTAGATGAGGCATCAAATAATGCCTGATACGGTGACAAAGAGTCGAGGACAAACTCTACCAAGACAGACTGTACCTAGTATGTATGAAGAAGAATAGAATAAAGGTTATGACTTAGTCAAGACAAGCACACTACGCGGTAATAACATCCTATAAAAGGTCAAATCTGACAAAGTAAAAGAAGACTCATCTCAGATGGCCCAATTTCAGTCTCCAAGTTTACAAGTGTCCATACTTCTGTATGTAGGTTATCCGACGATGAGAAAAGCGTATTTGACATAAACCGGGCAGCATAATCAAACCTCGAGAAGGCTCCCGGGGAACAATATGCAAGATGCCAAACAGCGGTGTCTAAGAGCTTGCCGCAAGTCCCTGGGGGCAATGCTGACGCAGCGAGCACAGCCTGAAAACAGCCCAGCACAGAAAGGCTATGATCTGGAGCCCTAAGAGGGATCCTACTACAGTAGGTGGCCAAAAGTCTGCGCCCCCCAGCCCACAACCCCATAACACCATAAAACGCGTTAAATAATAATATTATTTTTAAACAGCCATAACTATCGCAAAAAATGTCAGAAATACGTGGTTTTAGTGTTAAATTATACGCTAATTATTAAAAAGGCTATTAATTTAATACGGAAGCTAAAGCTATAATAATAGCTAAGCTAGAGGCCGGTAAAGCTATTAAGGCTGTCACGTGTAAGTTTAATATAATGCCTTTAATAGTTAGGGCTATAAAGAAGAAATAGATTAAAAGCTATATACTTACCCTAAAGCTATAAAAAGGATATCTAAAGAAGCTTATAGTAATAAAAAAGAGATATATTATATATTTAGCCCTTTATAAGCGTAATATTATATATAATACCTTAATTAGGTTAATACCTTTCTAA